TATTAATAAGATGCACGCTAATAGTATTATTAAGAACTTAACTCGATAAAAGTTTAAAAGCTTTATCAAGCTCTTGAATTTATAAAACGCTCGCGCGTTCGTCGAAGAGCTTTAATAGCACGCATATGTTATTCACTTATTACATTTTATTTTTTTTTATTTGCACGTGATTTAAAAGAAAACATTTATTTAATAATCTTAGCCGTTATTCTATCTTATCTTACACGCTTTTTACTTTTCGCTTTTTATAATAAAAGATCAATTAAAGCTTTTAGCAATTTCTTTACTTTAGCTCGGCGCTCCGCAAGAGTTATAATAACGGCGAGCGCCGCCGCGAGAGCGGCAAGCGCAACGACTAGCGCAAAAAGAGCGACGACGATAAGAGCTGCGAAAGCGACGAAAGCAATAAAAGCGGCTAGCGCAAGCGCAAAAGCTGCTATAGCAGCAGATTAAAGCCTTTGTATAAAGTCCGAAAAGAAGTTTTAATTAAAAAAAGCTGCTTAAGTTAAATCATTTCGTAAGTTAAAGAGCTTGACTTACGAAAAGATAATATGCTTAAAGCGCTCTACGTCATCGGATTACGGTTCGCTGTTATAAAACTATTCAATTTAATAAAAGCTATATTTAAATTAAAAGTCTTAAAAGCAAGAGCAAAACCTGCAAAGCTATTAAGACTACTTCTAAAACCTTTACTTTTACTCGTTAAACCGCCCGGATCATTAGCAACACTTTTTAAAAAGGCAGCATCTAAAGCGAGCTATTATCGCATAGCATTTCGAAGACTTTAGCGAACTCTTTGTATAGCATTATTATTCTTAGCGCTTACGAAGTTTTTAAAAGCGGTGTTAGCAGCGGCAAAAGCAGCGGTGCAATTGCTATAACTACTTTTAGCACACCGGAGATAGCGAATAGCGCTTGTATCGCAATTATAGCAATCTTTATCGGACTTCGATGTGATCTTATTATTGATGCACTTAATGCACTTTAAAGCTTTAACGATCGTTAGCATAAACAAGCGCTTAATAAGAAAGTTTAAAAGAGAAAGCGAAAGTTCGAAAGTAAAAGTGCGAAGTATCGCCGCCGCCGCCGTAGCTGCAGCAATAGCGATAGCTAAAGCGGACAAAAGATTCTCTTAATAATCAATATAGAAATATTAATTTATTAAAAGCACTTACTTTTAAACGGCCTCGGCCGCGCTTAACGATTCTATTAAACTGAGTTACTTACTTAAAAAGCATTATATAGATAGATAAAAGTTAAGTGTTTGTTATAATAGAAAAGAACGCGCTCTTATTTATATAATAACGCGATAAAGACGGCGCTAAAGACCTCCGCTACGTAATAAAACCGACTTAAAAAAGAATTGCATTCTTAATTAATACTTAATTAATAATAACAACCGCTATTTGTTTGTTTTAAACTGCGATAACAATCTCTTTTGTTTATATCGAATTTAAAAAGCTTAGTCATTTATTTTTTTCTGTTTGCTTGCAGCTCAGCAGCTACGCTGCTGACTTAAAAAGTGTGTTATGCGGAACAAGTATAGTTCCACTTAAGCTACATATAACATATCATATAACCTCGCTTAGTAGCGCCCTTAGCACACTAGAGCTCTCAGGTACATGTACATAGATCCTGACGAGCTTTTTAAATAGAATATACCAAGCTTTATTCAATCCACAGAATCTCCTCCTGATCTTAGTGCTAATAAGCACTATATCTATCGAAGTCGCTTAATTTAAAAAGCTCGCTAAGATCAGCAAACAGCCTTTTTAACCTTTAACTTATCAATTCTTAAAGATCAATAATACTAATAGTCTAAATACTTTACTAAAAGTACGATCTTAGTATCTCGACCGTGTTCGACGAAAAAGAAGACGATTCTTACGTTTTATTTATTAAAGACTCCGAAGTGTTTATTACCGATAAAAAACGCCGGGATTATAAGCTCTTAGCTAAGCTACGAGCCGAAAGAATTATTAAAAGCTTTAAAGCATTGTTTTAAGAATCTAACGCAAAAGAATTAGCAAGATTAATAGCTTAAAGCATTCATTAAGTGATCTCGAGCATTGATCTACGTGTTAAAAGCGCTAAGATCTTTAAATCTAAGTTTATTAACGAGATCAAAAGCAAAAGAACACTTACGCTATACGAAAAGTCTCGTATAATAGTTTAAGCTTTTTAAGATAAAAGCAAGACGAAAGTACTTACCGAGTTACTTATAGTACAGCGAGCGAGCTAAAGACTTTGTTATGCTTTAGTTCTTTCGTTAATAAAAGACTACGAGTATCAAGTCTATAATAAAGATATCACGCAAGCTTACACTTAATCAAGCACGAAGTTCATTTAAATAATCGTCGTGCGATTATTTAAAGAGATCACTTATCGATTCTTCTTCAGCACTTTGTTCTTTATAATTAGCTTTTTATATAGCATCTTCGAAGCAAAAACGCATTAGTATAAGCGTTTTTCTAAGCATTTTATAAACAACTTCAGTATAAAGCAATCGAGCTTTGATTCTTATCTTTTTGTGTTAATTAATAAAGATCAGCTAAGAATAGCTGCCTTATAAACGGACGCTGTTCTTATAGTTGTTAATCGAGCTATAAAAGCAAAAGAAGAAAAAGAATTAGTCAAATCTAAGCTAAAAAGCAAAGAAATAAAGACCTTTATATACGCCGAACCGATGATTTTCAATAAATGCAAGCTATCTTTAAATAAAAACGGGTTCGGACTATCAGTTAAGCAGAAAAAGCAAAGTAAAAGGCTTATTATAATCAAGCTCGATTTAGCAACACGAGCTAAAAAGTACTTAAAGCAACGTGCTCGAAAAGCGTATTTAGCTATTATTTGCTACTTAAAAGCATCTTACGCTTTATCGATAGCTGCTTAACATTAAAAACCGAAAGACGAAGACTACAAAGCTTTTAATAAAGTGATCTAATAGCTAATCGATCACTTAATACGAAAGATCTATTACGTGCTTTTAAACTTAAAGACAGCGAAGCTCTTTATATTCGTAGACAAAGCGTTTACTAACAACGCTGACTTTAACTCTTAAATCGGTTTCGTAGCTATCTTTAGCAATAAAGCTTACGTAAATAAGAACGAGTTCACTTTAACGAGTAACATCTTTTATTAAGTGTTATAAAAGTGCAAAAGAATAACAAAAGCCGTATTAGCCTTTAAGCTTTACGCTATATCTTTAAGTATCGATATAGCTATTGCTATATCGATTACTTTTGCTTAAATTATAGCTTAGCTAAGAATCTTTAACTTCTTCGTAATAATATGCACTGACTTTTACTCGCTTTACGAGTGCATAATAAAGCTAGGAACTATTAAAGAGAAGCGCTTTATAATCGATATTATAGCTATTCGAGAGTCATACGAGAAGCGGGAGCTCTTTAAAGTACGCTAGATCGAAAGAAAATCTAACTTTGCTAACGCTATAACAAAAATCAAAGCTAATACCTCTTTGCAAGAGCTAGTTTTAACTAATACTTTAAAAGTGCAAGTAGATAGATAAGTAGAAAGGCCGCTATAATAAAAGGAAGGATAAGATTGTTTTTCTTTTGTTTAATCACCTTCCTTCTTTTTTCGGTCGATATAATAGTTAGCAAAGCACTGCTTGCTAAAAAAAGAGTTGCTAGTATCGGTATATCTATATCGACCTTAGCTAGCTAATAGTAGTAGTTAAAGAAGCTCACCCGTGAACTATGGTTCACGAGCCACTTAGCATGCTTCGCTTAGCATATCAGCAGTTAAAGGACCCTTAACTTGACAAGTAAGCTTATTAGTTAGCTAGTGCACGTGATTCCTTTTAATCTTATAAAAAGAATCAGCTCCTTTAAGTCTTGGAGAGCAAACAGAATTCAGATACTTTATCAATCGAGTGTTTTGCAATTGCAAGTACTTTGACGACCGTTACGACCTTACGAATATATTCCCAATCGCTTAGAAGCAATCCAACAGATTAAAAGTATATAAATTAAGTATTAAAACTTATATATTAAAGTATATTAGTAGATGTATATTCAGTTAATAATTATAAAAATATATCATAAGTTTAAAAATCTTTATAAGAAAAATAATAAATATTTTTTATTATAAATGCGAGAATTTTTTATAATAAAAAGGTTTAATAATTATTTGAAGATATCTTAAAATTATATAGAAGATTTAAAATTTTATAATTGTTTGAAATCTGTTAGTAATTTTAAAAGGAATAAATAAAGAAGGAAGTTATTATTTATTTTAAGATTAAATTTATAATTCGAAATCTTTTCGGAAAATTACCTTTTTATATGCATGAATTAATAAACAAGCTGAGTAAATAATATAAAACTTGTTTAATAATTAGTTCAAGTATTATTATAAAATCATTTTTATAACCTTAGATAGTATTTTCTAATCGTATTAAAAATAATACTAGATTTTATTTTATTTATATATATAATAACAGTATTAATTTATAATAAGTAAATTGTATTTTTTATAATAACTACTTTTATTAATATTAAATTAAATATTTATTTTGTTATTACAACTTTCCGTGCGAGCAATAATCAGAAAGAAGATTTAATAAAACTTGGATAGCTTTTGTTAATTGCGTTAAAAGTAAACCTTTATTGCAATCTCTTTAAATATTTAATTATATAATAATTCTTTTGTAATATAAAATTTATAAAAATCAAAATATTTAAGTTAATAATTGCTTTTTTAATTATTTATCTTAAGATTTTTCAAATAATATATTGTTTTAAAATTTAAAAAAAATCAACGCAATATAATAAGTATTAAGAAAAACAAGACTATATAATAAATACAAAAAAAATCAAGTTTATATACTAAATACAAAAGAATCAAGTCTATATGCTAAATACAAAAAAATCAAGTTTATATAATGTTTTGCTTTATTATATACGTCTTGATAATTCAATTCTTTATATCTTCGTATAGCTGATTAGCTAATTGTAAATCAAATGCTTCAATATCTTTTAAAGTAAAGTCATTAATTCGAAGGCGTTAGCTGCTTCTATAGCGCTAGTTCTATTAGCGTTATCAGTTGACGCTAGTGAATTGTTCGGAATAAGGGTAGTTCTAGCATTTGAAATACTAATTGAATCTTCAATATCAGTAGTTGTATTAAGGTGGGCTGAACTCCTGGCGCTAGCGGGTTCTTCGATAAGCCTTTTAGCTGGAGATAAAGCGTAGTCAGACCAAGTGAAGTTTTCGTAGCTTTAAATTCTATTTAATTATTAATAATAATCAATATATATATAACTTTTATATACTTACTTATCTTTAGCTTCATTTAAAGCTTGAGTAACTTTAGCTAAAGATCGATTAGCTTCAATTAAAGCTTGTTCTTTAGAACGCGCTTGTTCTTTAAAGCGATCTTTGTTTTCTTGAGCACGAGTAAGTCTATTTAATATTAGTATAAATTAAATATTATATTAAGGTTGATATAATAAAAAGGAATAACTTACTGTTGTTGTAATTTCTCAATTGCTTTCGAATGAGATTTAAGGTTTGCTTCGCGCGTAGTTTCCGACGCTTTAAGCGATTCGCTTAAAGCGATTTTTTTCTTCGAGCTATCTTTTAATTGCTTCTATTAATAATTAATAGAATATTTATATATAAATTAATATAAGAATATCTTACCTATTAATACGTTATGCTTATTTTGTAATTTTTCAAAGCGGATCGTTAAGTCTTTGATATCATCTTTCATTTTTTGATATCTAATATAATAATATATATATAAGTATATAATTCAATTAATAATAAAGTGAATTAAAACTTACGTAAAAGGTTGAAGAGATTTGCGTAAAGCAGATCGAAGAGAAATAAATCTAAGAGGGCGACCTCGAGTTCTTTTAAAGGGCTCGTCACGTAGCTTTGCGCGTGGAAGCATTGCAATGAATTGTAGTAGAAGAAGGTTGTATGATGAGAAATAAGTTAGGAATTTTAATAGATTATATAGATTTTACTTGTATTAATAAATAGAATTTACTTTAATAGTATTTTAAAAAGCATTATAATTATAGCAAAAGTAATAAGACTATAAGAATAGATTTAAGGATTTAAGATTAAAAGATCGATAAAGTATATCAAAATAGTTTAAGATTTGATTAAATGAAAATAGATTTAGAAAAAAGATAATATATTTTTAAATATTATATAAATATCTTAAGATATTTGTCGTGCGGGAATATAAGGTTATAAGACTGGTTACTGCAATGTGCATTGCAGGTCTGCTTTTGCACATCAGTTAAGAGCTACATTTGCTCCGATGGTTCAGTTGGTCGATCGATCAAGCTGGCCGTCATTGAGTTATACTGTGCGCAGTAAAACAAAGTTTTCTTAGCCGAAAACCCGATGCCACCCCGCTATCGTTAGCTGCGGGGCATCTACTTCCTTATCGATAAGACATAGTGACTTAATAAGTAGTCAGGCTGCGATGCCGCATTTAAGCAAATAAAATCGCTAACTAAAAATCCATTTTCGATAAGTGATAGAAAAAAAGCTATTAACCGCAACGTGGTTTACAGAGCAATCGGTAAGCATCAACCGGCCAGCTCTGGGGGGTGTGTCGTGCGGGAATATAAGGTTATAAGACTGGTTACTGCAATGTGCATTGCAGGTCTGCTTTTGCACATCAATATTTTAAAAGAAATTTATTTTGAAATAGAATTATATATATAATATTGAGATAAGTATAATTAGCAAATAAGATTGGATCTTTTTATATATATTGCCATAAGACTTAGTAGAATATATATAGCTTGAATTGAAAATAGAAATAAGATTATAAAATACGAGTATAGATTTAAAGTTATAAGAATAGCTTAGTACTATATATAAATTGTGATATTTTCAAATAGAGTTATTAGTTTATCGAGTAAATATAAATAGGTAAATATAGTTTATAATATTTTTAGTAATATAATAAGTGCTTTATAAATAAATCATTATTATCGGGTTATTAAAGATTAAGTTATTGCAAATTATTATATATATAATAGTGTTACTTTAACTTTCGATATATATTCTTAACTTTAAAGTAAAGGATAAGTTTAAATAAGCTTAAGGTTGAAGCATAATATGCTTATTTCGTATTGGCTAATGTTGTGCGGAACAGGCATGGTTCCATCCAAGCTATATGTGATATGTCATGTGACCTCGCCTAGTAGCGCTCTTGGCACATTAGAGCTCTTAAGTATATGTATATAGATCTTGACGAGCTTTTTAGATAGAATATACCAAGTTTCATTTAATCTACAGAATCTCTTCTTGATCTTAATGCTAGTAAGTATTATAGTTAAGAGCTACATTCGCACTCACGAGCTATTCAGTTAGTCTTTAATAATCTCCGAATTAATCGAGAGCGGATTCTGCAAGTCACTTTAACGCTACTTTGCTACAATTTCATTTTGCAATCTATCTTTTTTCAATTATATTTATTCTTTACAACTAACACTTATTACCTTTAAAAACTTTAATCAATTTTCAAAAGCTTTAGTTATAAAATCAATTGCTATAACAATAGACGACAAAGTAGAAGAGGTCCTTTTAATTAACAAAACGAACCTTATAAGTCGTAACGACTTCTTAAGATAGATTACGAATTATAAATACTTTATTAAGCGCTTTAGTATAAAATAATACGCATCTCTTTGTATTAGCGTAAAAGAACTTGCTCTTTTTATCGAGCAGATTAAACTAAAAACGAAGTCTGTTATAAAGATAATAACGGAGCTTAACAACGAATAGTTTTAAAAGTAAAACCGTTAACGAAAGGCTTAAGAAGAACTGCATTTAAATGCTCTTGCAAACGATCTTAATAGACCTTTAAAACTAAAAAACGCTGATTTCGAAGACGTTCGAAAAGCGTATAACGATAATATAAAAGAATATAACTTCGTTATAAACAATTAAAAAGTCTTAAGCAATAAAAGCAATCAAATCATAGACTAGATTAAAAAGACGGTTGAAAGCTTTATTCTCGAAGAAGCGATCTTGGCGGCTTTAGAAAAAGATAATACTTTTATTTAATTTTTAATAAAAAAGCTTTAAAAAATATGCCGTCTATCCGACTCGAGCTTTAAGCTATCGATAGCGCGAAATTATAACAAATCTTTATAAGCAGCTAAGCAAAGGAGCGTCTTTTTAGCGGTATAGATTAAAAAACACCGAGCTATCTATAAGTTAGCGAAGATAAACGACTTTTACGAGACGACGAATATACTCGTAATAAAAGCATTTTTAAAAGCTATTAGCGAAAAATAATCATCAACTTAAGCGTCGCTAAAGCTCGCAAAGGTCATTCGAAACGACGAGCTTTTATTGCTTTAAAAGCGCACTTTTTACGACTACTTTAATTAATACGAAAGCTAAGTCGAAAAGAAGACTAATAATCCGAACTTTAACTTCTTTAGCATATTCGCTACTTTCGGAAATTAAACTACTCGCAGCACTTTCGGAAGTGATAAAGCTAACGACACTGTTTTTAAGCAGTTCGATAAACGCTCCGATAGCTTTAAAAGACTTGCTAAAGGTTTTAAATGCTCGTGCTTTAAAAAGAGAAACTATTATTAAAACGCAATCAAATGCAAGATCTTTCGTTATTGCTTTAATAGTCTTAATAAAAGTGAATTCGCAAAGTCGAACCGAGATGATATCGTCGTTATAAAAAAAAGGCTTTAAAAGCTTAAGTTTAAGACGCTTTGAAAAGAGATTATTAAAAAAGGTTAAGCATAGATTTAAGTCGATAAGATCGTTTTAAAAAGCAAAGAGAAGCAATCGAACGATAGCGATAAGTTAAAATACTTTAAAAAAGTGTTAATAGCTATTATCGATCTCGAGCTCTTTAATACGTTCGATAATCTTGCTTTTAACGGTCTTTATAGCACGGCTGATAATAAGCACTAGCTATTTAACAGCACTCTTTTCGACAATTGCGGCGCTATTTACTTTGTTAACGATAAGAATCTTTTAAAGCTAAAGTTAATTTAACGCTTTCGCTTAACCGATTTTATCGAAGCTAAAACGAATAGTTTCTTAATCGTCAAGCGAAGTATTAAAGTCTTTAAAAGAGCTTTAAACGAACTAAATAAAGCTAAGACAAAAGATTTAAAGTTAGAAAACGTTGCTATCGTTAAAAGGTTTAATATTAATATTATTTCAAAAGCTTTTTTAAGCAAGGCTAGCGTGTAATACTCGAGATATAACGCAACTCTTCGCTACGAAAAAGTTAAGGAAAGCGTCGTTTTAAAAAAGTTAAAAAGGAAGTTTAATTTTACGTTTTTTAAATATAAGCTATTTAATTATTCTTTGCTTTAATTGATTCGTAGCTTTTTTTGCTTAATAATGTTTTTTACAATTTAAAAGCGCTTGTAAACATATTATAAATTTTAAAAGAGCAGTGTCTTCCGAGCTTTAAGAGAAGATTCATCGATACTTTAGCATTTACGAACAAGTTATTTAAGCAAAGAAGCGCTCGAAGCGCTAGCTTATAATGCTAAAAAAGTAAGACTTAAAAGAATTATTAAAGTTAAATGTAAAGCATATGCTATTACGCACGCTTAACAAGTCATATCTCGCCGTACGTTAGATAATAAAGTAGTTAAGCTATTTTATAAGATCGCTTAAGATTTATTCGACTTTTTTAACGGTTTCGACGAAAACAAATAATTATTAATAATTAAAAATGAATACAATAAAAAGCTATTCGGCTTTATACTAAAGGACAAGTTGCAATTAACGGTTATAAAAGTGCTAAAAGAATTCGAAGCATAAACGAAACGTAAATACGGTCTTTTAATAGCTATTATGCGCTATAATAACGATTTTTTAATAATCGTAGTCAACGTTATCGGCTCTATCGAATACTAAAGATAAACGAAAGAGGTCGAGATCGAATTAAAGCTTTTACTATCTTTTAATTACGAACTTAATAAAAGAGCTGAAAGGGTTAAAAGAAAAGTAATAGAACGGTCTATTAAAATGAAAGTAAAAGCAAAGTTCTTAGAAAAGCTCTAGCTTAAGACTATACTAGCCGCTATCTACTTTTATAACATAACACCGAGAGCGAAAAGCTTTATAAAAAGTCCGAATAAAGTGCTATAGCTTTAGTTTAAGTAATATTTTAAGTAATACGATCCGGCGATCTTTATACAAATCGACACCGACTTAAGACTAGATTATAACGGTTTAATTGCGTATAGCGCTCGTGCGTACTTAATAATTAAAGACCGAGAAGCTTTTCGTAATAAAAGAGCTTTTAAGGTTAAACTAAAAAGACATATAAGCTACTTAATTAAATATATAACTTCTAATATATATAAGGTTTATATTCTTATGCTTTATAAAGTAATTGTCATACGCAACGTAACGTTCGATAAGACTCAATTCTATTTTAAAAACGAAAAAAAATCGGTCGGCTAACCGATTAACGAAATCAAGAGAATCGTTATTAAATTAAAAGATATTAAAGACTTTAATCAAATAAAAGACGCTTTGTTTAATATAAAGAACGTTGCAAAAGATCGCTTAAAAGAGACGAATGCAGCTAATATAAAAAGTAAGCAGCCGTTAAACTTAATAAAAGTTGACTTAAAAGGATTTAATTAAAGCTTAAAAAATGCGATTCTATTTAATCCGAACGATGCATAAACGTTAAAAGCTTTAACTTTAATTAAAGACCTTATAAATACGTCTATATTAAAAGCAATTGCTTTACGAGACGATTTAATAAACCTTAACGATTCGAACTACACCGTTAAACGTCTCGCTAGCTTTTTAATTAAAAGCAAAAGCGAAAGTGCTTTAAGACTGCTAAAAGCAAAGAAGAGCACCGTAAACGAGCAAAAACCTAGCCTTAATAAAAGAGCGCGCAAAACATATCTTTAAATT